GAGGCCATTTGTAGCTGTCCTGGCCGAGAGCCCCAGCTAAGGTCCCGGATGAGTGGGTGAATGAGCTTTCGGATGACTCCGGGCCCAGCCCGCAGGCCACTCCAGCCGACTCCAAACGGGGCAGAGTTGGGCTGTGCCCGCAGAACCCGGCCGGAACTACAGATTTGTGGGTAAAATACATGTTGCCATGGCTCTGAACCCCTAAGTGTTGGGGTTCTTTGTTCCACAGCACTGGTATGTGGAGAACCCCACCACCACCTTATCAATGGAGGATTGCTCTCCCCATTTGATAGATGAGGAAACTGAGTCTCATCTAGTAAAGTGAAGTCAAGATGCAATGCCAGGAATGCGGGGCTCTTGATCGCTGAGCCTGGGTCACAGGGTGACCTCAGAACCCAGCCCAGGACCCTTTGGATCCAGCAATCGTGTGGTGGCTCTGGTTTCGGGTGGTGGAAAGTGGAGGTGGGGGACAGTTGACAAGCAGACTATTGTCCTGGGTGGAAAGCCATCACACCGTGATCTGGCTCCACAAGATTCACCCCTGACCTCCTGGGGACTCTGAAAGACTCCCCCAAGATTGTCCCCAGCCCAGAGCTTCCCACCAGCACCTCGCCACGTTGCCATCAGTGGCTTTGGCACTACCCGGGTAGTGTCCTCAGGACGTGAGCAACACAGCGCAAGAGGCCACCCCACTCACCACCCAAGACTTTGTGATGCAAAGAGGGGCTGGGGGAAGTGCAGGATTGTGGAGACGACCCAGGAGTTACCGTGTCCCGGGAGTGGGAGACTCAGACTGGTGACAATCCTCTTATTATGGACCCAGACACTTGAGGAGCCCAAACTGGCAAGTGGCCTTCTGGGAGTGACTCTGTTTCCCTACCCCTCATTCCCAGGAGCAGGAAGATCAGTTCTCCCAGGACAAAAGATCCCAGTGTGTGACTTTAGACAAGTGGCCTCCCTCTCTGGGTGTCGGTCTTCTTGTGAGCTAAAAGTCAGGTGAGGACCCCCAGCACCCCCGGTTATGCCGAGGCTCCGCCGGGGAAGTAGGTTCACGCGGCGCGTGGCCAGGATGGAGGGGCAGAGGGCGGCTGGGCGGGTGCTTTGTGCCCACCAACACACTGAAGGAGGGCAGATGCAGGAGGGCTTCCCAGAGGAGGTGATGTCTGAGATAAGACCCCAAACACAGGCAGAAGAAAGCCAGGTGAGCGCAGGTGGGGAGAGTTGTCAAACAGCAGCTACTGCAAGGAGCACTGAGGCCCCAAAGGCAGACAGCACGTGGACAGGGAGGCCAATCCCTGTCCCAGGCACGGAGTTCCAGGGAGAGAGTGGTGAGGCAGGAGGCCAGATCCAGCAGGAACTTGTAAGCCACAGAAAGCGCTGCAGATTAACATGGAAGCATTTTAAGCAAAGAAGCTGGGGCTGGATTTGTGTCTTAGAAAAATCACTCTAAGTGTCAAAGATGGACTAACCACAGTTTACCTCCGTGGCTGTTGCTCTCCCCGCAAGAGAGGAAGCACCCTGAGCTAAGAGAGTGACGGTGGCGGGTCTTAGCCCACTCAGGCTGCTATTAATATAACACAACGCACTAAGCTGGGTGGTTTAGAAACAACAGAAACTTATTGCTCACAGTTCTGGAGGCCGGGAAGACCGGGATCAAGGCACAAGCAGATCTGGCATCTGGTGGGGGCTCTCTGCTTCATAGACAGTGCTTTCTTGCTGTGTCCTCACGTGGCAGAAGGGAAGGGTGGCTCTCTGGGGCCTCTTTCATAAGGGCATTAATCTCATTCACAAGGGTGGAGCCTCCCCAACCTAATCGCTCCCATAGGCCCCGCCTACTAATTCCATCACCTTGGTGATTAGGTTTCAACATATCTGTTTTGGGGGACACAAACATTCAGACCGTAGCAGGGGATAATGATGACAGCTGTCATTAATTGAGCACATACTATGTGCCAGACTCTGTTAATCTCTTTACAGGGATCAGACTTTTAACTATTTTAACAAAATGTCGTGGAGACGCTATGACAGAATGTCTCCCAGGGAAAGGTCGTAAAAGGTGACTGGGCTCTCTGAGGATGTGCTCCTTTGCAGACCTGAGTGGCCATGTAAGAAGCCTGGTTGCCTGAAGCCACCGCACTCAAGAGCCCATGTGCGGAAGCCCAGGTGCCGACAGGTGAGGGAAGAAGCCATCAGGATGATCCCCCCCCTCGGCCACCGTCCCACTGTGACCTCATGAGAGACTTGAGCAGAATGGCCCAGCTGAGCTGCTTCTAAATTCCTGAGCCACAGAAGCCCTGAGAGATACTATATGGTTATTTTTGTTTTAAGTCATTTAGTGTTGGGGTAATTTGTTGGCAGCAATAGTAATGTAAAAGAAAATAAAAACGTCAAGACCCGCTTCTACCCCCAACTTTTTATGCAAAAGGGAAGGTAATGGCCTCAGGCACCTGTGCAGCCCTGGGCCCGTAGATTGTTCATAAGGAAGTTCCTTGCTGGCCTCCCATGAGCAAGGACGTGCAAATTGTAACTTCAGTTCTGCAGACCACATCTAGCTCCTAAAACTAAAGTCTGTTCCAGTTCCACACTAATAATGAATTACGAGTTTATCTTCACAGGTGCAGAACAGAGACAAGAGAGGGTCAGACATTCTTCCACCTACCCAGGGACAGCTACATAATTGATGTTTCCTTTACTCCCTTTTTCCCCTCTAACATTTGCCTTATCTTATGTAAAATGTAGATTCTCCTGGGTCTTACAAGAATGTGACCATTTTGGCTCACGACCCCCATCCTGCCTTTTTTGGTTTTTTTTCTGTATGCCTTAAAATACTGAAACTGCCAAATTCCCCTTCAGAAAAACAGCCAGAGGCTTGTCTGTGGTTTGTGTTTTTCCCAGTAACGTCCTCAACTTTGGCTTCATAAACTTCCATTGATTGCAATTTTTGCCTCAGTCACGAATGTTGAGTCGACAGTAACTATCAATAGAACACAGATGAAAGGTGGGGCAAGGGTGAGTGGGTGGACAGAAGTGCTCTGGATGGAGAATGCAGCATGTGCAAAGGCCCTGGGGTGAGGAGGCAGTGCCGAAATGAAGGTGCAGAGGTTGGCAGGGCTGACGCTGAGGCTTTCCAGCCCTGACATAGGCCAGGCACACCAGCCTGTCCACCAGGCACATAACTCTTCGTTTGGTCCTACCTACGTCCTCCGGTGGATGGGTAAATCCCTTTCCTTCTCTGTGCAGAGTGCTGTTGGAGCCATTATGGGGCCCATGTCTATAGCACAAGCCTGTGCAGGGAAGGAAACCACATTTCATTCATTCATTCATTGTCTCCTTCAGTAAGATCCCTGTCCCTCCCATTGTCATCTCGGTGTCCACAATAACCCCCGAGGAGGTGCTTGTGTGTCTCCAGTGAGCAGATGCAGAGACCAGAGACGGACGCTGAGCGGGCTGGGTCCTCACCCACTGCCGGGAGCGGGAGAGTGGGAGGCAGGGGGAGGGGGGAGGGGTCTCCGGGGCCAGCCTGGGGGCTGAGCCTGCCCTCTTTCTCCAGGTCCAGGTCAAGCACGTCCAGGCTGTGTGACTTTGGGGAACTCACTGTCCTGCGCCAGGAGAGGTTCAGTTTTCTCCTCTGTAAAATGGGAGGATAAATGCTGGTCTCACTGGGATTATCGAGCCAAGATCGTCACAACTTGCCTCTGCGCCAGGCACTGCAACAGCCACCACTTGCCTCTGCGCCAGGCACTGCAACACACTCTCCACCCGCATGAACACGCCCCCTCCCCGCACGGTCAGCGTGGTCCAACTCCACTCACAGTCCGGGGCAGAGCTGGGCAAGCAGAGCCCTGAGCACTGGGGAGGGCTCGGCAGGAGCTGGCAGCTGATGACAATCTGCTTTTCCGTTTCCTGCCAAAGCCCCACACCTGGTGAAATGTGCTCAGTCCCCCGGATGAGCCCCTAGTCCACTGCTGCCCCCGAGCAGCCTGCACCAGTTCAAACTCCATCAGGATTTGGGAAAACAAAGGAAAGAAACAATACCAAACAGCCGGATTGGCCCACGCTAGGAAAACAAGAGGGGAGTGAGAAGAAGCCGGCACAGCCAGAAGAGGCCCAACACCTCCTGCCTGAACACCTCCTGCCCCGAGAGCAGGACCCCAAGATCAAATCCCTGCCTTGTCAGCTCACATTCTGTGGGTTGGGGTTGGAGACAATAATAACCACAAAACTGACAGCAGTAGAAAACATTTATTTAGTGCTCACCTTGTGCCAGCCCTACTCTAACTCACTTGATTTTCAAGCCCTATGAGGTAGCTGGTATTGTTTCCCTCGTTCAAGAGGAAATGAAGGCACAGAGAGGTTAAGTGGCTTACCCAAAGTCACACAGTTGGTAGGTGGTAGAGCCAGGATTTGAACCAGTAAACCAAGAATTCCTCGATCCCCATGCTGAGGACTTGAGTGCATTCCTCATGCCAGAGCTGGGGCTCTCCCCGGTTTATAGACCAGGGTGCAGAGGCCCAGAGAGGTGAAGCTGGAAGCGGGGCGGATTTAGAGCCAGGCTCTGGCTCCATGCTGTGCGAGACCCTGCCGCACCCCAAGCTCCTCTCCCCAACACCGACCTCCCCCTCCAGCCCCAGAGGACAGCCTGACATGACAACTCCTCATTACTGGCACGGCAACCCAGCCAGGGCCACCCCAGGGAATGACGTGGCCCCGGGTCCCCAGGGAGAAGGGAGGACAGGACCAACTCCAGCTGAGACACCCCTTCCCTGGCCTAGGAAGGATTTCTGTGTCTCTGGGAACAAACTGGATCGCTGCCTCCTCCCCCCTCACCCTCTGCCCCCCCTTTGCAATCTCTGGGGCTCACTTCCCCGTATTCCAAGTGCTAACAGAGAACCAGAGAGAAGGCAGAGGGGGGGTGAAACTTGAGATCCAGCCTTGGGGGGCAGGGGGGGAGAGAGACAGAGGAGGGGCGAGAGAGGGAGGAAGAGCGAGCGCGCAGTTGCTGAGTGGCGCTGGGTTTTCCGAGGGGGCAGCCTGGGGGTTGGTGTGTGCGTTTGTTTGCTCGCGTGTGGGTCCGCCTGCCTTGTTTTCTTTCCTCCCTTCTCGCGGGGAGGCCGGGCCCGACTGGATAATAAACGGACAGGGGGCGAGGCTGGGCACAGCCAGGCCGGTGCAGGACAGGAGGAAGGAAGGGAAAGGGGAAAGAATAGAGGTGAGGGGCGCAGGGGTGGGAGCAGGAGGCGGCGAGAGGAAGCAGAGCAGCTGTGGCATTGGAGGAGTATAAATAGCCTCCCGCTGGGACGGAGCGGCCCCAGGGGTTTGCCGCTGCAGCGAGTGCGGGAGGCACGGGGCTGGACAGTGGGCGGGCGCGCCCCTGGGGCTCCGACCGACCGCCACCCTCGCCATCGCCACGTCCCCATGCTCTCGCAGCCGGCCATGCTGCTGGGCGGCCTCCTCCTCACGGTGGCCACCGCGACGGCGGCTCAACGGAGGGGGCAGGAGGCGGGCGGGCGCCGCTGGGCACACCGCGTGCAGCACGGCCAGTGCAGCTACACCTTCGTGCTGCCCGAGCCGGAGCCCTGCCCGCCGCCCGAGCCCGAGCCCTTCGGGGGCCCCAACAGCCTCCAGAGAGACTCGCCGGCCGCCGCGGCGCTGCGCCTGGGGGACTGGCCCACGCAGCGGGTGCGGCAGCTGGAGAAGGCGCTGGAGAACAACACGCAGTGGCTGCAGAAGGTACGGCTGCGCCTGCAGGGCCGGGGTGGCTCCGCGTGGGTCGCGACTGGCGGGTGGGGCGTCCACCCCAGAGGCCTTCCCTGGGCACAGAGGCCTGGCTCTGAGTGGTACGGATTGGGATGTGAGGCCCAGAGAGGGACATGGATGGGCCTGAGGCCACACAGCAAGGTTGGGCAGCGTCAGAACTGGGACCCTGCCTTCTTAACTACCATTCATTCATTCCGCCAGCAAAAACTCCGTTTCAGTGCTGGCACAGGCTGGACCATCCTAGGTGGGGGGGGGGGTGCAGGAGGGGGGATACAGCGGTGAACAGAATGGCCTGTCCCCTTCTGGACAGCGGGGAAAGAGGTGCCAGAGTTACCTACTGTGTTAGACGGTGAAGCAGAATGAAGGGAAGAGGGCAGGCAGCGCCAGGGGTGGCTGTTTGAGGCCAGGTCATTGGAGAGGATGTCTCAGAGGAGGTGACGTTTAGAATGTCAACGACAAGAGAATGGACAGAGGGGGTTATGTAGGTAGCTGGGGGGAGCGGTCCGGCAAAGGGCCCAGCGCATGCAAGGGCTGTGCCCGGGGCACAGTGAGGTGGCAGCGGTGTGGCTGGACGAGAAGGAAAAGGAGAAAGCGTGTGGGCAGGGCTGAGAGCTGAGGGCAGGGCAGGCGGCAGGCTGTGGGGGTCCCTGGAAAGCCTCTGGCTTTTGCTCCATCACAGGAGCCGTGGCAGGGTTTGGAGCGGGGAGAGCCCCCCCTGCTTTGGTTTTAGCAGAATAGACTACAGGAGGCAGGTGGACCCAGGGAGGCCTGGAGCGGGATGGGTGGGGGCAGGGGTGTGGCTGGTCAGATTCTGGTGTGTTCTGGAGGGAGAGCCCATCAGTTGGATGTGGGCCGCAGGGAGCTGAGGGCACACTGTGGTTTGGGCCCGAGACCAGGACCCTGTCACGCTTTCATCTTTCAGCGGGCGCTCTGAGCTCCTACTGTGTGCCCTCGGTGAGGCCCTGGGTGGCGTGGGGGCAGGGCTAATGTCCCTCATTGGGTGTTCTCAATGAGCCTGGCCAGAGCCCCTAAGCAGGAGCTACCAAGGGAAGAGAGCAGGACCAGGAGGCAGTTGGGGTGCTGGCCGTGGGGGGGAGGGTGCGGCCAGCCCATGGAGCTGCAGAGCGTGTTAAACAGCGGGCCAGCACCACGGCCTCTGCAACAGGGGGGTGAGGGTTGCCCAGGGTGGCCCCAAGGAGCCGGCTCTGCCTCCCCACGGCGTCCCGTGGTCCCAGCCGCGCCCGATCAGTGAAGAATGCTCAGTACCGATACGCACAGGTGTATTTAATGTCGACCCACATACATCCGTATTAATACAATATGTACATGGTATGACACAAATAAAAATGAAACTTTTAAAAGGTAACATAGGAAATCATGTAAACTGAAGTTCTAAGAGTTTCCTCCTATTTTCCAAAAGATTGTCTTATGCACAGCCTGGGTTTATCCATCCCCGAGGTGGAGAGGCTGCACTACACGCGTCGAACGCGCCCGTCCATACGCACTCGCGCGCGCACACGCACACGCCTAGCCTCCCATCTTCCTTCCTGACCCAAGCACTGCTTCAGTGCCTCGCGCACCGTCTCCCCAGAGTCCCTTGCCCCTTGCACATCCACCCACCGGCCCTGCCGCCACCCCTTGAGGGAGCGCTTGGCCTCACACACCGGGGCCCAGCCCGATGAGGGCTCCATGCTGCGCTGGAGTCTGTGTGCATGTCTTCACGAGCTGCTCCCAAGCCCCACGAGGCATTCTCCAGGCCTCGCCCCCTCCTTGAGCCTCCATCTCCACTCCCCACCCTCTACCCGTCCTCTCTCCAGACCCTAACCTCCTACTTCAGCGGAGGCTGAGGGGAGGGGAGCCCCTCAGCTGCCTGCCCACGCCTGCAGAATCGCCCGTGCACCCGCCAGTCCCCAGGGCCTTTCTTCAGGCTCAGAGGAAAGGGGCTGGCTCCATGGGCTGAGCCCACTCTTCTTTCCTGGGCTGTGCGCCACCTCCCTTCATAGCTCCCGAATCTCCCCAAACCAGCCATCCCCTCCTGTGTCTCTGGCGACTTCTCCCTCTCTGCTGGTCCTTCCCGTCAGTATTTCATCACACCCACTGTCTCCTGTGTTAACAAAAAGAAAGAAGGAGAAGGAAGAGGAGGAGGAGAAACACAAGCCTCTTCTCCATCCCATGGAGGTGCACATGGTCTGCCTCACTTCCTCACTTCCCACTTATTCCTGGCCCTAAGGTCACCTGTCACCCCTACCCAGTTCCAAAATCCAGTGGCCACAGCTCAGCCTCTATCTTGCTTGACTCTTGACAAACTGGATACTGGTGACTAACACCACCCTTCTGGGACTCTCCTCTGTCAGTAAGGCCCTATCTGCAGAACGCATCTGGACTGGCCACCTCTACCTCCTGCCTGGCCGCTGTCCCAGCTGCCACCCTGGGCTCCCTGCTTCCACGCTGGCCCCCACCTCCATTCTCCATTCAGCAGACCGGGGGATCCATGCCACAGCCTAAGTGACATCCTGCCCTCCTCCCAGGGATCCCGTCTCATTGGAATTAAAGCAAAACCCCTTACTCCCCAGAATGTCCCTCTCCCAGACCCCCACGTGGCCCTCCCCAACTCCCTATCCACTCCAATGTCACCTCCCTGGAGAGGCCCTCCCTCCCCACCCCATGTAAATAACCACCCTCTTTTTGTCACCCTTCGTCCACTCCTTTTTACTCCTATTTACTGTTGTTTTTTTCTTAACACTTGTCATTACCTGATGTTCTAAAAAGCGCTTCTTTTGTTCTGTGAGCTCCATGTCTGTTTTGTTTACTACCATGTTCCCAGGTCCTAGAACAGTGCCTGGCACATAGTAGGTGCTCAATAAATGTCTGTAGAATGAGTGAATGCACAAATGTTCTTCCAATCTCCCAGGCCTCAGGTCTCCATCCTGCTCCACAATTACACCAAACTGGCACGTAATGGGATCCTGAGCCCCACACCTACGACCCTGCCTGTCCCCAGATATCTCCCCTCTGAGGGTACACAGATGTCTCAGCCCCAAAGCTGCCTGAGACTCCCTCCCCTCCAAACACGCTCCTCCTGCCCACCTCTGTTTAGGGTATGACACCACCCAGCTGGCATGCTGGCTGTGCCCTGGGGGTCTCCTGTGGTCCCCACCTCACCCCCAGGCAGCAGGCTCACCCATCTTGTCACTTGGGCTTCTCTCATCATCCATCCTCCTGCCTCCCTGGCTCAGCCTTATCATCGTTCCCATGGACGCTGCCATCACCTCCCACTTGGCTTCTGCACCCCAAGCCTCACCCTCTCATCCAGCTTCGAACCCCCGGGTGCCAGGCGCTTGGGAACATGGACTGAGTCAGTTGATGGATTGAACTGATGGCTTTCGGGGCCAGAAGGTCCCTGGGCCAACTCTTCAGCTTGGGGTGGAATGTCCTCTCTAGGTGCCCGTCCACCTAGCCTGACTCTCCCGGGCAGGGGTCAGCCACATCATCGTGGAGAGCTCGGGGCCTAAGAGCACTGCTGTGGGAGTCCAGCCGACCCAAGTCCACATCCGGGCCCCAGCACTCACTCACCTCGTGGGCACAGATGAGCGAGTCTCAGTTCTCCCTAGTGCCAGGTGGAGAGAAAGAAACGACGGTATGTCGGGGGATGGCTGGGACAGCTGGTGAGACGCCAGGCACCTCTCTCTGCCTGCTGCCGGCTTCGTAAAGACACGGGCCAGCTCGCCCGGCACGAGCGCAGGCGTGTGCTGGGCTCTTACTCAGTTCAGCCTCACCCCTATTGTGAGCCCCTGCGCTACTGAGGGGGAAGCTCAATCTTAGTCAAGCCGCACAAGGGTCGCAGGTGTCCTCGGGGCTAGGAGTGTCAGCTGTCCGTGCTGGTGTTCTCAAGGGGTCCTCATCCTGCCCGTCTCTGGTGGGGTCCCAGTGGGTGTGTGTTGTATCACCATCTTCTGGGTCAGGAGCCCCTTGGGGTGAGCACCCCCTTCATGCCTCTTGGCATTCGGGTCACTGCCAGGTCACCCTGTGCCTGTGGAGCCTGCTACAAGATCAGACCCACTGGCCCAGACACACCTGATCGTCACTTTCCCTGGGTCTGTCACCTCCTCGGGCAGCAGCACAGCCTGGAAGGCGAGAGCCCTGACTGACTGTGGAGCCCAGCGGCTGGGATTCCAGGCCCGGTTCTGCCCCTTCCTGGCTGTGTGACCTGGGGCAAGTTACTGCATGTCTCTGAGCCTAGATTTCCTCACCTACAGAATGAGATAACAGTATCTCTATGAGGATTTAACAAGATGGTATGCATGTAGTACTTGGCCTGGTGCCAGGTATACAGTAAGTGCTCAATACATGTAGCCTATTTTCTTTCAGGACTTTCCCTGGAAATAGAGACATGAGCCTTGCAGTTCTTGGGTCCTTTCTCTCTTCAGGTGATGCACATGGACCCCTTCCCCCCCTGCTCACATGAGCAGTCATCTCCCCCAACCCCTGACTCTCCCCGCCCCCCATTGGAGATGCTACTACCCTCTGTGGCTGTGGCCGTGACCTTCCTCTGGTTCTTTTCTTGGTCTGGGCATGTCTCAGAGCCTTTGAAATTCAAAGGCTTCTTTATGGGTTTTGCTTGAACACCCCAGAAAAAAAAAAGAGTTTTAAAATATTCTTCCCTAATAGCATCATCATCATCATCATCATTGCCGTTGGGGATGAAGGAGCTCTCTCAGCAGTTAGTGTATACATTAGTGTATATATGGTCGTCAGGGCAGACGCAGGGGAGATCCTCCCTGCCACGAACTCCCAGTGGCCACCACCTGCTCAGCCTGGGCCCCCAACTCCTCTGTGCCCTCAGTGTACAGGTGAGGAAACTGAGGCCAGAGCGGGAAGCGACTTGCCAGAGTCCTGCAGCAGAGATTGGAGAGTTTGGATGCTCATTCCAAAGTGCAGGCTCTTCGTCCTGACTCTGGAAGGTGTCGAGGCGG